AAGAAATTTTTTTTATCCCATGCATATTTTTTGATATTTAACTCGTTTTGTACTTTTGGGACGCCCTGTATACCTTGCTTCAAATAGGTTTTAAAATTTAAATACAGTTCTCCTGATAACTAAAATGTAATGATGATTTTAGTTTTTTCCGTTTACTTCTGGGTATCAAGTATCTGGAATTATTTTTTTTAACTTAATCACACATATCTTATCTTGTTAAAGATCTTACACTGCTGGTAATCCTTGCATCTGTATAGGAGTAGGTTTAGTAATTCCTTTCTTCTTTAAACCATGGAGGATACATTTAGGGAGCTTCATTTCCTAAAAATAAATAACGAAAAAAAATTCAGAAATTAAATATTTTTATTGTGAACAAGAAAGATAACTGAGAAAAATAGTGCTGTCTTTAATTTTATTAGAATTGAAACACATTTTTAAAATGCGCAATCAGCAAATGAAATGAAATTAGATTTACCTAAACTTATTGATTATATCTGTCTCAACCTTTAAAGCTGTGTAATATATGGGCTATAATAGATTGTCTTGTTTACAAAACAAATGATCATACAGCCGTTGGTACTGTAAAGTCTAAAAATACCTAAAAAAAAATATCTGGCTAACAAATAGCATGAATAAAAAAAAAACATAACAAGATAAATTAAAATCAGGAGACAATTTATGGAACATCAGAGAGGTGGTGATTTTTGTTGAGAAAAGTTTTTGTTTTTGAATTTAAGGTTTATACCAATCCGTTGTGGGTATTTTAATTTAATTTTGTTTAGTTTATGTGTTGGTTGTCAAATAAATGTGCTTTTATAAAAAGAGAAGGAGTGGACTATTCTAGGATTTTACCTTGAAATCTAATTCCATTAATGGAGTTTCCTTAAAATCTCTTTAAATGAGTATGTTAAAACCTAATTTTATACTCATATAAAGAACTTCAAAAATATCATAATTGGATTCAATTAATATGGCAAAACTAACAAATCAAAGATTGTATTGTCCATACTTATAAATAGCATGATTCTCTTTATAATCAAATATTCTGAATACTTAAACTGAGTTTTATATAGAATTATACAAAGAGTTTTAAATTTGGTATAAAACTAAAATTAATAATAATAAAATAGTTGTTTTTCTTATTAAAAAATTTTTTTTCCAAACTTTTTGTTACTATATTAAATTTATTTATATTTAAGATATTCTTGTATTACTTATTGATAAACAAGTGTATTGGTCAGTTTTAGCTTCGTCCATTTTACATAAATTCTTCCAATATCCTTTTCAGGACAAGATGCCAATCCTGGTTATTGTAGCTGCAAAACAAGTTCTTTTGCTAGGTAAAATTATTAAACACAGTAAAATTTTAATGTAAAGGTTTTCAAGTTCACATTATCACAAAGGATACTTTTCTTTTTATGTTTTGATAAACTAATAATTTAAGAGTAAAAGAATATATAAGTCAAAGTTTCTTAACTGAAAATTTGAATTAAAACAAGGTTGCTCGAAAAAAAGCTTGGCAAAAAACTAATAAGTATAATTCTATGTGCATGCAAATGCATTTAAGTTTGCTCAAAAATATTTCAGAAAATAATTTTAAATTTATAACTTTCATTCATTAAGAAGTATAAAATACTTTATTTACTTTAGGGAAATAATTAAAAATTTCAATCATTCTTTCTTACTGAGTTTTGCAGCATTTATATAAAACAGACATTTCAAACCTGTCTTAAAATAAAATCAAAAGAATCAAGTTTTTTTTAAAAATTTAAGATCAAAAAGTTGAAAACAAAATTTAACAATAAAATATTAAAAAGCAAATTCAGCAAAAATATGACTAACTTTGAATGTTTTGATTGGTGGAATAATGTTATCTCCTTCGACAAGTATCCGATACTTCCGACGTACTCGCTGGTGCCTCTTTTCTGACAAAGCTAATATGTAGCGTGGGGGTCTCCACCTAACATCAATAAGTTTATACATAAGTAATTTTTATAATCTTATGATAAAACTATAAAGCCATTAAGAGGCTCGTCCTTGATTTGCAACAAAATAATTATTTTTTCTTCCTTCTCGATAAATAGACTAAATTACTTAAAGTATTAGAGTAGTATTCAAAGTACCCCTGTGGCAGAATTTTTTCAGGCTTTCTGCAACAAAACTCTCTTTACTAATATCTTTCTGCAAGATACTTTCAATAATAACAAAGATGTAAGTTACTAATTTAATGTATCAAAAATGCTGTGTTTACAAAAACAAAACAGCAATGTAATTTTTTTAATTGAATATGTAATATTTTTCTTAAATGTAATATTATGGGATTCTAATATTCTCGAATTTTGTAGGAAGGGGGGATGCACTAGTTATCTCCGTTATCTCATTTTGCAAAACATCGTCTAATTAAAAAAATAACTAAAATATCATGAAATCTGCAGTAGTAATTACCGAAAAACAGATAGACGAGGAAATCATGCTAATCGAACTCTATAGAAAGCAGTTGCATGCTTCATTTCAAGATTTGATTGCCGTAATAAATAATATCATATAAAAGATATCAGGTAGTAAAAACTATTTTGAAATCAAAAGCAATAACTACCAAAAAAAAAAAGGTCGATAGAATAATTGCTTCAAAAAATAAATAATCAAATGCGCTATTCTAATTTCCCATATGCCCTGACATATATCGGGATATCTAAAAGTCACGTGAAAATCAATGTCAATAACTGCTAAATACACTCAAATTGGATTTACAATATTTAAGAAAAACATACAAAATTTAAACAGCAATCATACAAATTTTGAAAATTAAAGTTAACAAAGTAAGAACTTTCCATTCTTATTAAATTTATTACATATTTGCTAACCAAGACCCCTTAAAAATACGTAAAATTTTTAATGAACATACAGAAAGAATGTAAAACATTACATTTGAAAATATCTTATAATTTTTTAGAAAATTAAAAAAAATCAATTGCACATTCATAAACTTTAGAGGTCCCTAAAATATTCAGGCTACAGATCTAGTAGCCAACCCTGAATCCAGCTCTGTTTATAATAGAATTATTCTTTTGCAGATCAAAGGTTAAAATGGTAAAAATTAAGAAAATATGCTAAAACTTAAGTCTTTTTCTCAGATAAAATTCCGTTACCGTCATTATAATAAAAGACTTCTTTCATTATGATAATACAAATTCACAAAAAGAAAATCGTATTTAAACAAATAATATATACATCACATTCTTACATAATTCTGTTTTTGAATCAAAAACTAAATTCAGTGGTTGAGACAGCTCAAGGTATACTCTGTGCTTAACAATTTTCTTGGCCAACCTCGCCTGAACCAAGGATTAAGCCATGAGCTTGAAGTATGGGAGGGTGAAGAGCTACCCCTCATTCATTGGGAGGCATTAATTGAAGCAATCACATCAAAAATTCTTTTCAAGTAATGCATAATCAAATACCTTAATATAAATCAAAATCTTTGGAGCAAACAGTTATTGAAAAAGCATTTAAAAAAGTCAAGAGTTTGTTGTTAACTTCCGCAGTATACCTAAATTTGAAGCTCGGCTACCATAAAGAAAATCATTAGAATTAACCCTGAAGTAAAACAAAAAGTAATAATGAAAGAGAAGAGAGCTTCTAAAATGTTCCTTGCTGAGTAATTAAGCGGAGTTTCGAGTTTCCTTTCTTCACTAATTACTTCGATGTTCTACTGGCGTTTGAAAGCTGTCGAACAGCCACGTTGTTAACAAATATTTATTAGTATACGGCCAGTATTCCAAAATGATTTTAATCAACTGTTTTTCAACTTTAATATTTTTGAGATCAATAAATTAGAATTTATTTAAAAACTTACTCCTCGTTAAAAATAATACACTTCAGTTATATTTAATCCACTCTCTCTGCTACTTTCCCATCTAAAGGGAAACAATAATTTGCTATTCATATTGTTTTCGTAATCTGGTGTAAAAAACGAACTAGATGAAATTTTTGCATTTTTCCTATCCCTGCTTCACTTTCAAGCATTAAATTTGCAACCATCAGAAAGTACCAGATTTTTGGTAAGGAAAAGGAAAAATTATCAGAATTTTATGAACCCATTTTAGCAACAAAAAAAAAACTCCATTGGTGGATAACTTGGGTTCTGAGTTCAATCCTGTCAGCTGACTGAACAACTGGTGTTTACTTAGCAAGGGCACAAGTTAAAATTCATTACTGAGAGTCCTCTCATGGGTCAGAGGCACTAGCTGTACACATCATCTGTAATAATGATGCAGCCAAGGCTGTTAAAACACAGAGCCCCGAAAAACGTGATTAGCAATGGTTGGGTGGTGTAAAAGTTCATTTAAGAGTGAATCAAAAACTTACAGACGGGCAAATGATGAGACCATAAGGACCTTCCTCCTGTGTGAATGGCAGGCATTTCTCTTGTTGCATAGCAAACATAACAATAGGTAAAACAAACACAAGGGTCTTTCCTGAACCAGTAAAAGCCATACCAATCATATCTCGACCTGATAAACTGAATTTAAAATAATTTAGAAAAATCATCTAAATTTGCAAAATACATTCATTAGAAAGGTGAGGATATTGATGATAAATAAAATTTATTTATTTATTATTATTTTTTTTTGGTTCTTCATTAATAAGGCAATATTAAAGTTTTTTAAAAACATTATTTTTTTTCACGTTTTAGAATTACATACATCCCTTTTTGTTATTTATTATCTTTGAATAAGATTTATCACTAAGCACTTTTTTCTTGCAAATTAATTTTCTTCATCTTTATATATCAGCATAAATTTTAGATTGAATCTTGTCATTNTAACAAGTGTTGATGTTGAACATATTTTATCAAGATATAAAGCATTTGTTTTTAGTCAATGGTCTATCTTTGAATTTAAAGATAAAAAATAAAAATAATAATAATAATACAATGCAATTGCAATATGGATGTTCCTGAAGATTGCAACTAAAAATTATTTTATTAAATGCATATATCCAAGTTAATATTTAATTAAAAAAAACTGAATTTAAAATCTTTTTAAAGCATCACTCTTTTAAGATTTTTTTTTTTTTTTTATGGTTCAAAGAGGCTTTTTTTTCTTTCTTTCCATTTTTAAAGTTTTTTTTAAAAGAATTTTAAGGTCATCAACATATCCTTTTTTTTAATACTAAAGTAAATATCTTACTTTTCAAAGATTTTTGAATAATCAAACATCTTTTAGATAACAATAGCATCACTAGCTAACATTTCATTAACTTAGAAGAAATACAATTAAAAGAAAACTAATGCAAAATC